TGACAGCATTGTCTATCACACACCTACTGGAGCTGCTTACACAGCTCTCAGAACTATGCACTGATCATGTGGTGTAGAACTGTTTTTTTATTTTTTTTATTTTTCAATTTAATTTTTTTTTTTTTTTGGTAGCAGGGATTGAACTCGGGTCCTTGCACTTGTGGAGCAGGCGGCGAAACCACTGAGCTAAATCCCCGGCCCCTAGAACTTTTTAAAATTATGAGACAAATACAGGTTGGGCTTTGGTATTCAAAGCCTGGATTGATTCTCAGTGATGACCAAAATCTAGTCAGGGGGCAGGGACACAGCATAATGTTCTCTTTCCATTATTTTCAACACTTTATTTCCTATCCTATCAAAAAATTTTAATTTAGCATGCCTATGAATTTTTAAGCTGAATAAATTGGAGAAATAACAAAGAAAACAATCATTATTTAATGAGTAGTCAATTTGTGAGAGGAACTTTCTATAAATTGTATGTTTAAGTGAACTCCTGAATCACTTCTGGGGCAAGACTTCATACTGTTATTTTAAAGATAAGGACAATGAACTGTGGGAATTGCAGGGATTTACCTGTGTGTGCCCCAACACTGAAGAGGCAGGATGAAACCTACACCTGACAGACTCAAAACAACTTGCAAAGTGTATGTTATGATTCAAAGTGTTCTCCGATGAAGCTAAGAAAGTAAACTGCTTTGACACATAATTATGAATATCTTATCCACATGTAGTAAATAAGTTTTTTTTGGTAGCAGGGATTGAACTCGGGTCCTTGCGCTTGCGCAGCAGGCGGCGAAACCACTGAGCTAAATCCCTGGCCCAAGTAAATAAGTTTTAAAAGTATTTTTTCTACCTGTCTGTTTACATCTGGATTAAGTAGCACAATGTTTTGACCTTCACAATGGTGCCTGGCCATTTGCTGGCCTCTCCAAACTCAGTTCCTATAGAGAGGCCCTACCATGTCAGTAACTCTAGTAATAACTTCACATTTGTAAGGTATGCAGCACATATTATCACTTGATCTTAGTCAAAAGGCCGAGAAGCGATTACAGCACATATTATCTATCATAGGCCATGATCACAGTGGCATGGTGGGTTAAGACTTCATCCACTCATGCATTTATTCATTGCTTGTACCTTACATATTTATATATTTATTTTATTTCTACTTGCTGTGCCTAGAACTGTGCTAGATCTTAGATCCATGGAGACAGAAAGGTTTAGTTCTGGCATAAAGGCATTTATAGATCTGCAAGAGCCACTGATTACATGAAAAGTAAGATAAGTAAACTCTACTCATATTGAAATTACTTACCCTAACAATAATAAGGATTCTTAGAGAAGAATGAAATATTTTTAAAATAGTCACCAGTTAGGACACATGGTTTTAAAAAACACTAATTTTTCCTTCATTATATTTCCTTTCTTCCCTCATTTTTGTAGCCATAAGCTCCATGGGTCTTAAATAGCCTATGAAAAAGTGTGCCTGGTGGAAGATAATCTCACAACCACCCCTCAACCTCCGCATCCTCAGTCACCAAAGTGTTCTTCATAGCAAAAGGAGAGATTTCCAAAATGGACATTTTGAACAAAAAAGTAAAAATTAAGCAAAGGAAGATAATGCTCATCAGTTATCTTTGTACGTCATTGTCACAAACACCCTTGAATCTGACACTGTACTGAGGTGACTCTTTAGGACTTGGCACTGATACTTGACCACTGCCAGAAACCTGTGGGCTCTTTCCAGTCTCCCACAGACCACACTCTCAGTCTCGTCTCATCTGTGCCCAGTAAGCAGCTGTTGGATGGGCAAAAGGAGCAGGCTGGGGCAGGACGGTATCTTCCTCTCCCTGTAGTCAACTGCCGAGGCCAGGATGGAGCCATGGCACAGGACTAACTCCATTTGTCATGTCACAGTCAATAGGACACATCTCAGGCTGAGGTCCCAAGTGAAAAATCTCCCCCTGAAGAGTTGGGCTATTTATTTGCTTGCTTGCTTGTTTTTATGGTACTGTGAATTGAACCTAGGGACTTTGCATCCAGCTACATCCTCCAGTCTTTTTTTATTTTCTATTTTGAAACAAGGCCTCCCTAAGTTGCTAAGTTGTCCAGCCTGGGCTCAAACTTGCAGTCCTCCTCCTCAGCCTTCTGGAGTGCTAGGATTACAAGCATGTGCCACCACACCCAGCCTCTGAAGAGTTTTGAATCCTGAGACAAATGTCATGGTCTGAGGATGAAGAAAGCAATTAGAGGGAGGTCACTGTCTGGGCACAATTGAATATAAAACATTGACTAACCAGGCAAGACATGGCTTAGTGAGGCCGGGAGTCAGGAACATGAATGGCTGGTACAAAAAGTCAGATGCAGACACAGCAATCAGTGTGTGCACAGGCTGCCTGGGAAGACAGAGGAGCTCACACCTGGGCCAGGACAGGCTGTGTCTTCAAGGTGAGCCACCAGGGAAGGTCTGCAGAGCAGTGAGGCAGGTAGGAATGGTGATCAGAGGAAGACAGAGGTGAGGGAACCCACTGCTCCATCCAGATGATAGAAGGCCCCTTGTGCCAGCTTTTCCTGTGTCTTTAAACAGCTTGATTGATCTTGGAGTCACTGGTGTGACAGCATCCTCTGCAAACCCTCCCGAGCATTAGGGAGCCCCAAGACCCCAGGTCTGTTGCAACCACTCTGCTTACTGCCTCCTCACTGGTCTCAGGGTGGGGAGTTTTCTCCTAAGACAACCCCAAAACCATGGCTTTTCTCGGGCACAGCTAAGAGTGCTGAAGCCAATGAGGGCAGGGAGGGACAATACTAGATACAGAAGGAGGAAAACTGAGTATGAGGCCTTTTGAGAGGCCTCCACCAACCACAGGGAACTGACTGGGGTGTGCAGAGACCTAAGAACTGGAGCCAGAGTAGAGAGTGACAGGACTTGGGGTGGGTCACACAGAGGCTCAGAAAGGTGCCCTCTGCCCCTGCCCTTGTCATCAGTAGTAGAAGCACCAGGTCCGAGGGATGACCTTAAACTCCCTAAAACCTCTACTGTGGTATTTTTCCAAGAAAAGCCAAGCTTGGATAACATAAGTGAAGATTTTTAGAATCGCCTAGCCACCCACAAGTGCATTTGGTGAAATGGCATCACCTTGAAGCAGGGAGTGAAGTAAATTGCAGCATTTACAAGCCAAGGCAAATGTTCAAAGGGCACTCAGCACAAAGAACAGATGGCCGATGGGAAGCCAGCGTGCATTCTGCCAACACTCACAAAATGCAGATTTCTTAAGTGCTTGAAGGCTGTTTATGGTCTGAGCACCCAGGAATTGACCCCTTTAAGCTCCTGGGACAGAGGAAACTGTCTTGAAGTGTCACCACTGCATGCTGGATCCCATGACTTTGCATCCTTCTCCCAGGGAATTGTTTTGTTTTGTTTTGTTTTGTTTTTACTAAGATTGAACTCACAGTCACTGCCCTGAGCTACATTCCCAACCCTATTCTGAGACAGAATCTCACTAAATTGTCCAGGAGGGACTCGAATTCGGATCCTCCTGCCTCAGCCTCCCAAGCACTGGGATTACAAGTGTGCACCACTGTGCCCTGCTGGGAATTGTGGAGTACTGTTTTCATTGAAATTTTAATTTTATTGGTACAAGTTTGCAGTACACAGTGATTACATTCCTCATGGTAAGTTGGTATGCGTATATAATACATCTTAATTCTTTTATGAATGCGTCACTTCTGGCTTGTAAAAACCAATCAGACTCTTTCTACCTTTTTCTATAATGTGAAAGAGGAAGACAGGTGCAGCCAATGACCTGCCTGCTGCAACCAAAGGCAAAGCCAAAGAAGGAACACTGGTCATTTACATCCTCAGCTCTGGATCCCAGGAATTACCCACACCCTAGGAATCTTGTGACTGCACATTGCCTTTAAAAATCCAATTATAGGGCCAGGGATTTAGCTCAGTGGTTCCGGCACCTGCCTCGAAAGCGCAAGGTCCCGAGTTCGATCCCCGGCACACACACACAAAAAAATCCAATTATAGATGCTCCAGAGGGAGTTTTTACTACATTTTTCAGCTCTCAGAAATATCATTGTAAAATTATAATTCTAACTTCTTCTTCTACATTTAGTGAAGTGTTTAGAATAACTACTCACCCTCGAAGGAACCCTTTAGTAAAATGATAGAAAAACAGAAACTCCAAATTGCTAATAGTCAACCAAGGAGAAAAAAAGGAGACAGAATATATTTTCATTGAAATGCTCTGATTCATTTATTTCTGATTCCTTTAGTTATTTTCTCATACTGGGGTGTTTTTGAACTGCACATACATTGCCAAAATTAAAAATTATTCTAGGGCCAGGGATTTAGTTCAGTGGTTCCGGCACCTGCCTCGAAAGCACAAGGTCCCGAGCTTGATCCCCAGTACCAAAAAAAAAAAAAATTATTCTATACTCTTTGCAAAATCTGAATCAAGTTTCAGAACAATACATGCTAAAAAAAAATTACCATGTTAGTCATGTAAAAACTTGGTTCATCTTTCTGCCTTTCGAAGACTATTTTGGAGCCTATTCAAATGAATGCTTTCTAACTGGTTATGCATGGCTAGATAGATGGATGGATGGACAGAGAGACAAATGGAGGAACAAATGAATAGATGAGTGGGTGAAGGGGTGAGTGGGTGGGTAGGTGAGTGGATAAATGGATGCATGGATGGAAGTATGGCAGGTGTGTAGATAATATTTGGTTAAAGTTAGAAATAAGTACTTAGTACTTTCAGAGACATACACCCTCACACAAAGAACAATATCCCCTTCTAAAAAGAATGCCACCAAAAATATACACCTGATTTCATCTTTATAGAGAATACATTGCATACACAATCTCACTGTCACATAGAGATTCTACCGTTAATGTATTGAGGAAGATCATTTCATCATATTTAGTCTCAGTTTAATTATTAAGTTCATAAATAATCTTAAGGCCACCATGAAGACTTTATGTCACTTACCCTGGGAGGTGGCTGCTGGAATTCTTCTTGTGTTTGAGACAGACAGGGTACTGGTTCCAGAGAGGATGTCCGGATCTGTTTTTTAAAAAATAAATCTCAAATCTGATGGCAGATAAGCATCAAGATCTCTTGGGTAGGACTTGCCACATTGCATTTCACAAAAATAACATACTTCTTATGTAAAGACATTTCAATGAATTTCTGAAACTGAAATATATTCTTACATATTTACTTGGTAATTGATATAACTTCTCCCTATTCAAATACATATAGTAATTATATTTGTTTAGATTCTCAGCAAATGCCTAACAATTATAGATGCCCAAACTGTATTGTTATTTTGTACCATTTTTAGATGAAAATCATCGTTCATTCTTGAAATTGTTCTTCTAAGTGGATACTAGTAATCAACAGTGTGTACAACATACACCACTTACACACACTTATTTATTACTTCTCAGAATATCTAGATAAACTTTCAGAATAACTTCCTGGTCAAAATCAGTATGACTCAATTGGCTATCAAAAATAATTTATTGGCCGGGGATTTAGCTCAGTGGTTTCGCCGCCTGCTGTGCAAGCACAAGGACCAGAGTTTAATCCCCGATACCAAAAAAAAAAAAATCATAGCTAGAAAACAAATTAAAAATAATTTATAGCTAGAAAAAGTTGAACTAATATTTTTTACAATTTCAGACTCATTGAAAGCTGGGTTAAGTCAAATTAGTTTATGTTAATGTGATTGTGATTGTTTTTCCTTTTCACTTTGGAAGTACAAAAAGGTTTTGATTTCTATAGATCAATAATAAATACTGTTTCCACTTACATTGAAGAAAACAAAGATTGGAGAGTGCAATGTAACTGAGTTCACTGCTAAACTACAAAGCCCCCAAACTGTGGAAAGATAAATAAAAAGGAAAATTTGAAAGAAGTGAAAAATAAAAAAAGCAAGAAATTCCCAGACGATGGTTTTCCCAAAAACCTTCATGTGTTTCTGATACATGTTTGATGCTTCCAAAAACATGGGTGATTTCTTAACCCTGCTATCTTAGGCCCACAATGGTAATTTGTTTTTTTCTTCCATCCTTACTGAAAATATCAGCAAATATCCCTGCAATAGTATAGAAATTATGGGGTCCTCCTTCCACATTTAAGGGCCATATTTGTGAACAAAGTGGTGTGGACTGAGCTTTTGAAGGACAGCCCAGCATTTAAGGTTTATGGTACACATCAATAGAGTGAACTCGTGTTCACAAGTCTAGTCTGAGATTGCCCTAAAACCAAGGCAGCTAAAGGAAAGGATTCAACCCTAGAAATCCATTAACGGGCAGGAGCCAGGCTGGGGTTGTTGTTGCTCAGTGGTAGAGCCTTTGATTGGCATGCATGAGGCCCTGGGTTCAATCCTCAAAACATACTGTATCATTCTTACAATTTTTCAATTTTAAAATTAGCATATTCTTACTTACTAACCAGAAAGGGGTGGGAGGCTCTTAATAGTAATCATAATCTAGGCATATGTAGGGCAGATAGTGACCTCAATTCACAATTCAACACTAGTTTAACAGGGGTGGAAAAATCTGACATAGTGGGTCTTGTTCCTAATTCCTAATCAGGGTCCATACACCAAACCCCACTATTGCCTTCTGGAAAGGAGGCTCTAGGAAGTGTCACCCTGGGCTAGTGTGCAAATTAAAAAAGACTCTCAGAAGAAAGCCTCCTGGTAATGAGTCAACACCAGGCAGTCAGTCAGTCATTAACAGATCCAGAAGCTGTGGCCCTGACAGTTAATTAAATCTGGACATTTAAATGCCTGGGCTGAGTCTGTGTGTAGAAGCCTGGTTCTCAAACTTGGGCCTGCACCAGAATCCCCTGGGGAGCTATTTAGACCCATTCAGTAAGCTGGGCACAGTGTCACACTACTCAAGATCTACTCAGTGGATCTGGTTGGTGCTACACAGAAAGCTAAGGTGAGAAGATCTGAAGTTTGAGTCCAGCCTGGGCAACTTAGTGAAACCTTCTATCCAAACAACAAGTTAAAAGGGATGGGGATGCATCTTAGTGTTACTGCACCTCTGATTTAATGTCCAGTGTCACGACAAACAAACAAACAAACAAAAACACTAGTTACAGGCTGCAAGCCCAGAGTTTCAGATTAGGAGGTGGTGAACCTGAGAATCTGCATTTCCAACAAGTTTCCAGAGGCACTTGTTCCAGACCAGTAGTGATAAACTATGGAATCAGTGGGTTGTTGCCTTTGGTAATGGTGAAGAATTTATCACAATTTATCCCTTCAGGAGCCTCAAACTCTGGAACACAGTACATCTGTGCCCACAGTTCTCTACTAGATCATTTCTCTTGGGAAGAGGAACATGCGTGGGGCAGAGGCCAGGTGTGTGAAGCCCAGGCCTCTGGACTGCTGGTTGTCTTTTGCATCTACTCATCAGCCTGGCAGAAGAGAGATTGAGGTTGCAGCAGAATTACCAGTGATCCCATCTGACACCCTCAGAGTGGTTCTCCAACAGTCAAAAGGATGACTCTCCACCTGCAGTAGGCAAGACCCCTGCGAACACATCCTGGCACTGCAGAAATATCGATGGGGTGATGGTGAGAATTCGAGAGCTGTTGAAATTGTGCTTCCAATATATTCAGCCACTCCCCCACTGTATGTCTTTGATGGGGGCAGTTCCAACAGTGGATGGCCATTTGTGGGGTGTTTTTGTGCCCAACCAAATCTCCTGCTTCTCTGCTGGCAGCACCACTCACATCATGCCAGAGTCTTTGGAGGTGAGAAGTGGCCACTGCTATGGGACACGGCTGCTCAGGTGCTGCTCACCATCCCTGTGGTCAGGTCTCAGCACATCATGGACATTCTTTCCAGGATTTGGGGATCTCAAGTAACTCAGAAGAATCAAGGCTACTGGTTAAATTTCATCCAGCACTTCACAACAGTGACTGTGATCACACATCCTCTAAATCGCATTATCCTGAATTGGGTGGTTTCCTCACACACTGTGAGCCTGCACCAGCAAAAGCTGTAAACTCCACATGATGGGGTCCACAGAGGTGTGTGTGAACCCCATTTCCCTTCCACTGTCTTAGGCCCAGTCCTCCAAAGGAGCGCTGGCTCGGCTCACTATATTGTCCTGCTTATTGACAATTGTGAGGGCAATCACCTTAAACTCATTTTGGATTTAATTTCAAATGGCACTTCTACTCTTTTCATGTGAGGGGTCTTGCTTCCTTTGGGTTTATTTTTTTCTCACCTTTCTGTGAAGTCTCCTCCCCACGCAGCTCCTGAGCCCCGTGCATGCAGAGCAGCAGATGCAGGGGCAGATGTGGGGGTCTTGCCACCGCCCAGGACCAGCCGGATTAAAGGCAGTGGCTTCCTCACAGTTTGGTGTGAGCTGCACCAGCCTTCTTGGGTTAAAACTAATTGCAAATTCACCTGAGGGTCCTCCACAGAGGGTTTCTGAGAAGACACAGCAGCAAAGAGCAATGGCCATGAAGAGCCTTTCAGCCTTAAAAATCACTTTAAGTTCATTTCATCCATAGATATTGATAGTGACATCAGTGGGCCCCTAGTCACTGGTCAGAGGGAGGGGCTTCTCTATGCACTGTCTACACATCTGAAAATTGCCTGCTCTTCCCTCCAGGAACATGCACCCTTCAGTTAGGCCTGTGGGTTTGGAGACAGGATTATGTTTGGATCCAGGGACCACTCTGTGTTAACCTGATTATCCCTGGCAAGCATGTCATCAGATTGTCCTAATTTCCATTTCCTCACCTGTAAAGTGGGTTTGCTAATGGGCCATGGGCTGTACCATTTCACAGGTTTTATGTAAAGACTAATCTATGAAAAATGCTTGAAAGGGGCCTGGGATTTAGCTCAGTGGTTCCACTGCCTGCCTCATAAGCACAAGGCCCTGAGTTCAATCCTCTGTACCAAAAAACCCCCAAAGCTTGAAAGATAATGGTCAATGTTTAGTGTTATTAATCATTTGCCTGAGCCCATATCTTACTGCCTTAATATAAGGTAAAACCATTTTTGTACTAATCCAATATTTTATTTAGGGCATTTTTTTTTTTTGGTCCATTCTTCAAAGCCTTTTCCCACAGTGCTGTAACTATGGGTATAATAGATGATTCTGCAAATAAGTCATATTTAAATTTGACTGTGGGTTTCTTCTTTATATAAAATAATGGTATGAGTCTGAAAGCTGTAAATCTGAAAGCTGCAGCATTATGCATGACCCTCCTATATATTCAAGCAGTTGTTGGAACTGGGTGTCTCTGGAGTATGGTGTGTTTTTCACATCACATTTTTTTTTAATTTTTCTAGTTGCTTTTTTCTTAATTTGAATTATTACATATTTTGAATGGATGGAATAGTCAATTCCACCTAGAAACTTCCTGTTCAAACCACAATCCTATGGGGTGGAGGGATGGTGGAGGGGGCAGGGAGCACTCAGTTTAACAGTACATATGAGCCCATGTTATCAAAGGTCATGCTGGCCCAAGGATGCGCTAGATGTCAGCTATCAAAAACATACACACAGAGAAATCCCTCTCATGTTTCTGGTCTCAGAAACAGCTTAGGATGAACATGAAATAAACACGAAATGCATTCATTGGAATATTGTCTTAGCTGGAGTTGCCTTCACAGAGTACTATGGACTGGGTGCTTTAAATGACAAAATTTTACTTTGTCACAGTTCAAAAGACTGCAAGAGGAGTTCAGGGAGCCAGCAATTCCTAGTGAGAGCCTCCTTTCTGGGTCCCCATACACAGTGGGAAGGACTGCATGCTCACTGGTGTCTCCTCTTACAAGGACACTAGTCCCACCATGGGTGCCCACCCCAGGATCTCACTGAACTCAGTCACCCCCCCAAAGAGCCACTCTAAATGCCACCATGGGGCTGGGGATTTAGCTCAGTGGTTCCAGCGCCTGCCTCAAAAGCGCAAGGTCCCAAGTTCTATCCCCAGTACCAAAGCAAATAAACACCACCATGTTTGGAGTCAGGACTGCAACATATGAATTTCAGGAATGGAGAGGGCACAATTCAGTGAACTGCAGAACTAGATAAAACATATGTAACATGAAGAACTGAGAACTGCTGGTATCGCATATCAGGCTTCCCAGAGAAGGTTGTTTTCCTTTTCCTGTGTGAATGTTCCTAGCACTTTACCCTCCAGCACCGTTTTCTTTTTAAAAAGAACTATACTTTAGGGCCGGGGATTTAGCTCAGTGGTTTTGACGCCTGCTGCGCAAGCGCAAGGACCCCACCGAGTTCAATCCCCAGTACCAAAAAAAAAAAAAAAAAAAAAGAACTATACTTTCATCCTCCTCCTAGAAACCACCACAAAATCTTGTAAATCTTCAAACAAAAATTTTCCCATGCTTGTCAGCACTAAATACTTCCCTACACATATTGATAAATGAACTCCTTTTGGGTCTCTGAACAGAAGCAGAATCAGAAATAACACCAGAAACACTTTTTTTTTTTTGGTACTGGAGATCAAACTTGGGACCTTGCGCTTTCAAGGCAGGCACCAGAACCACTGAGCTAAATCCCCGGCCCCAGAAACACTTTTAATGTCCTCAATTTCTATAGATATAACAAAGACGGTGATTGTTTTCAAAAGTTCCACATTTCTAACTTTATTTGAGAAAAACATCTTTCCTAGTTCAATGTGTAGGGTTTATTTTGATTCTGAAGTGTTAGAAGATGGAACCTCTGAGTCCACAGTCATGGGATCATTTTGTCCTCTGTCCAGAAAATGCAGTACATAAGATGAATGTTCACTGCAAATTAAACTCTCAGCCATCTTCAGCCACCTGACATGACTGACTGGCCCCCAAATACTGCCCTGTCTCACAAATTGAGAATGATGTTCTTCTTACACCCAAGTGTGAGACCCAGCCCTTGCAGCCGTCCTGGAGAAAACACCTCATGGACTGTCCACGGGCCAGGCACATCAGAAAAAGCAAAACTCATCAAATGGAAAGAGCCTGCCCTCTTCCAAATAGCTCTGATTACTGTGAGTGCCCAAACAATATTCCTAGTGAACAAAGAGTTCAGAAAACAACATACCAAGTCAGTCACACACACAAAAAATTGACAAAATAAAAATTTCCAACAGCATATAGTCTTCAATTTTATCTTTAAATTTTTACCAGGTCTTTTCATGTGGGTCCTTCTGATAATAAGCTCATAAAATAGCCATTATTGTCACTCCTTTCTGGAAAGAAGTGAGTGGAGGAGGTGAGCCCCTTCCATATCACCTGGTGGGGGCAAGGTCAACAGTCAAACCCAGATTTCCTTTCTTTATCCAAGACTGAGTTTTTAAATCATACCACTGCTGTTATAGATGAAAAAGCAAATAAAAAACCAACAGTAAGTACCTGGGATCATAACCATCTTTTTTAAAATTTCTTCCAAGTAAAGTTATGTAGATGATGCAAAATTACTTGTGTGCAATAAGAATTTAAAACTGCCTGTTATACCAATGACTTTACTAAATGACTATTTTAATGCTAAGTAATAAAAAAGCTTGGAACATATGAGATATGAAAAAATTCCCTAATGGAAATGAAAATGTACTGTTATAGAACATATTCTTTATCCCTAGGAGAACCCTCACCCATTTCCCCTGGCAGGGCCTGTTGTCCTGATCAGCGCTGACCAATGACCTTGTTTCCCTTCTTCTAGGAGCCACCAGAGGCCAGTATCTGGGATCCAACACTGGAAAGAGATATTTGAGGATTATCATTAAGCCCAATTTGTGATTAAAAATTCCTTATCCTGTAAGAAGGAAAGAATATTAATTCACATTGAGATACCTTGGTTAATAGTATTTAGGATCCAGCTTAACATGTGAAAAATATATTCTTTTGGTATAAAACTGGAAATTTAGTCCTTTCATGATGTAAGTGATTTGCAGTCCTTTAAATGATGCAAGATTTATGCAGTTTTTCAGCATTCAGTGATATTATTCATATACATAATTGCTGGTGGATATTTTTGTTTATCACTACATCAGAGTCAAAAACTTTACTGATAAGTTATTCATTCTTAAAGGTCTAGAGAAACTTGACTGTTTTCATTTTGATAGACAAAAAACACCATTTATATATTTAATTTAAATATTTCAATTATAATCAACAATATTTGTGGTGACCTATTTGAATCCAAGTCCAGTATTTTCTAGAAAATGGTAGTTTGTTCTTTGTATCACTGGTTCTCAGTCTACTGATGTCCCATGCTTTAAAACACTTTTGACTTAATGATAAGCTAAAAATTATGCTCCCATGGGGTTAATGATTCCATCAAGATGAAACCTACTGTGTGGCTTTAATGATTGTTACATGACTCAGTAAAGTAAGTTCATCTTACAAATTCCAAGTGGCCTCACTTTAAAAATCTTGTATTCTCAAATGCTCAAATGCTTTTTGGGAACAGTGCCTGTATCCTTTAGCCATTTATCACACATATTTGCAAGCAGTTCTTGGCAAGAGGTAAACACTCCACATTTATTGTAGTGAGTTTCTTTCCTTCTCTGGCAAGAGAGCAGCCAGCAGTCCTGGGGCAATTTCGGGCTTCTCTCTCACTCTGAGTCCAGCCTCATGGCAATCACTGCTACTGTTTGAGAACACTAAAGGAAAGCACCAAACACATGGGCAATGTCTTTCACGTGCTTATTTCATTAAGAAAACAAAGCCTTAACTGATACAGCCCAAAGATCTTTAAAAATCAGTTGTCCTGAGATCTTCACTCAACTCTAAGACAGACAGTGTCACCATTCAGAACCAACTGATAAGAAGTTAGCATACCTATAAAAAAAATCCACAATAAAAATACAGGAAATATACTAACTTTTAATTTTTATCTTCTGGAGCTGTTCTTTGATTTCTGTTCCATGAGTTTCCTCCCGAATCAACTTCCAAAAATCTTCACAGTCACTCATGTTCTTCAAGATCCCACATTTGGTCAACTCATTTTGCAACCCTATAATCTTATTTTCAAAGAGGAAAAAAAAAAAAATATATATATATATATTGCAGGGTGACATTTTTAAATGACAAATTGTAAGTCAGGGAATGATTAAGGAACTTAGGCTGCTTCCTAACCATCATCAGAATATAATGTCTAGGTAATTTGCAGCTTATTTGGTTAGGAAAGTGTCACTTTCAACAGTAACTACACCAAAACAAGTAACCACACATTTGGACTTCTCTGTCCCTAACGTCTATGGGTTCATTTACTTTTTAAAATCAAAGGGAACAATCTAAAGGCAAGTGGACTGTTATACTTTTTTAAATTCTCTTGTCAGGAGTTAAGACAACAGAATTCTTAGAAGAGGACGGGTGGTGAGCAGGAAGCTCTGTGGGAGGAATAAATGGGATACAAATTCCATGACAATGGGAAGAAGGAGAAAGGATACATTTCCTTCAAAGTTCAATTTCTAGCTCCATCTCCCTTTGACCTGGGGAATCTGGAATTACACGCCATAGATTCCAAACCAATTGCTATGTGGCCTGTGCTGACCAGGACCTCCCACTCTTGCAAATATAATTTCAGGTCTCAGACACTGAAGCAAGTGCCCAAATGCCAAGGTCAGCTTTGGGAAGGACCATCTGACCTGCCCTGAAATGTTGGCCCCAGGAGAGCCCTCTGGCCCCCTTTTAACTTAAGGGTCTCGTTTTTCATTTTCAATTTTTCAAAAATCAAAATTACAATAAATTTAATTATAGCTCTAAATAGTTTTTGTATGTGATTCTAGAGTCAGGCAACTGAGCAAAGGGTTGACTCCCACACAAAACTGGCTGAAAAGGCAGAGACGGAGAACAAAGTATGGATCGGCCATCCTCAAATTCCTTTCCTTGTAGAAGACACAGGATTCCCTGGGACTGTTCAGATAGCTGGGGCCATCCTGATTGGTGGCTATGAATCTCCTTTTTTGAAAAGTGGACCAACACTGAGCTCAATTTGAGTAAATGGCCCCTGGCACGGGCGACTCCATTCTAGTTGCTGGGACCAGTGGCAGTCTACAAATTTATATTAACAAACCAATGAAGAAACAAACAAACAAAAAAAGCAGTTATCAGGGGACTCTAAAAAGAACTGACTGTGTGTGGGGGGTGGTTGTTTTGTTTTTCTTTTTGGATGACAAAAATGTAGCTCATATCAGCATTTACCAGACTTTCTGCCCCCAGTCTAATTTTTAGAGCAGAATTTAGAGGTTTATGCGACCTGGCTTTAGGTGGAGACTGACTCCCTCAGACACCAGGAGGTGGCCCTAGAGGCAGGACCCTCCCTCCCTCTGCAGGAAGCGCTTTCATCCTTCCGAAATCCGAAGGCTTTTAAACGACTGGGAGATTTGGGGAGATTCCCGAGGGATCCCGAGGTGGTCGGGAGGTTGGGTGGGTGGGGGTGGGTGGGGGTGGGTGGGGGTCCCTGGGGTCTCCCCTTGCGTCCAGCCCTAACCCCAGGCTGCCCAGCGAGCTCTGGGGACCAGGCTCCCCAAGTTCCTGGACTTTCGGATCACTCAGCGTGCTTGTCCTCTGAAGGGCGGCATGGAACCAACGACTGGGCCTGGAGAGGGGCTGTCCGCGTCCTCAGCCCCGCTTACTGGACTCCTACCAGATAGACGCGGGACCGTGGAGGTAACCACATGCGGCCCGTCCGGGGCGAGGCGTGGAGCGGGGAAGCTGGCAACTCTCGCCGCGCAGACTTCAAACCGGGGCACTGAAAGCGGCCAGCCTGGGGTCTGGTAGTAGCTGGGAAACAAAGCTGCAAACAAATGACAAGTAAACACCCAGCCACAGGAAGCCATTAAGAAGAGTGGGCGCTAATGAGCGCGCCGCGGGGACCCGCCGCCGGGGGCGCCCGGGTTGGCCAGCAAGGAGGGGCGCAGGGCCAGCGGCGGCCGGAAGGCGAAAGGGTCTGGGAACGCCGGGATCGTCCCCGCCTCACTCTCCACTCCAGGGTAAAGGCGCCCGGGATCGCTCCGGGAAACTGCGGAGTCACCAAGGGACCCATTCTTCGGGGGTCTTTTGAAGTCGTTTCTCGTAGAAAACAACCTTTTTGAATGACCAGATGCTCCTTGGAGCCCCTCAAATTGCAGGCTATTCTTTTAAAATTATCTTTCTTTAAGGAGTAGTGATTTGTCAGGCAAACCTCTCATAATTTTCCGACTCAATTATTTGGGATAACATACGGTTTTAATTTTTAAATGACAGTTTTGTTTCGTTTTTTATTCCCCCGAACACAACGCCTTTGCACTGAGCTACATCCCCTTTTTTTATTTTTTGAGACAGGATCTCTCTAAATCGCTAAATTGCACGGGCTGGGATCAAACGTGCGATCCTCTTGCCTTATCCTTTCAGAGTCCTGGGATTACAGGCGTGCGCCACCTCCCTCGCGTAAATGACAGCTCTTTCCAGCATCCCAGACTCTGACAGATGCTGCTCAGGGCGGGTCCCACTTCCTGCGCGCGGTCCGAAGCTCATCCTCCCACCTCTCTCGGCCCTCACGCAGCGACGCCCAGTGGTCAGCCAGGTCCCTGCGGGAGAGAGCATCGCTCCGGCCCTGGGTACCCGGCCTCTCCCTCAGCCCAGGTCTTTCAGGCGCAGCGGACCACACACCGAGAGGGGCCTAGGAACTTAGAGCTACGCAAGGGAACTGCCTACTCACTGTGCCTTTTATGAGTGTTTATCTTGGACATTTTAGGAAGTACGTGGGAAAGTGGTTTCAGGGTAAATGTCAGGTCTACTCTAGGAGACTGAGAGAGCGAGTATTCCCCTAAGCATTACCTAAGCCTTGAGAATTGTTTTTCCATGGTCTCCTCATGTGTGATAAACTCCCTTTGTGGAAGGCGACTAATGACAAAGACATCATCATTGATACACTGGCAAAATTAAGGGAAGACGACAACCACTTTGACCAAGTAATCCTAGAAAGAAACTGAAGAGAAGTGTGTGGACAGAAAAGTGATTCCACTGTCTTCTGAGGTGTATGTGTGTCCCTTTATGTTCCCTCCAATTTTGTCTTTCCTGATGAAAATTAATTCAAATATATTTCATCTGTATATTTCATGTGCTGTACCCTGAACATTAGCTAGGATAATATGATTAAATTTCTATAATGAAATCATCTCATTGACTTTAATTGAATTAGAACTCAAAGCACATGAATATAATACAGGATATATAGATACTAATTATTATTTTAGTTTTAAAGCAACAATTTTGGTCCTGAGGCGAAAACTTCTAGATAAAATGAACTGAATTACATGGCTTCTTCTAGATCTAAAATTTTAGATCCTCTAATAATTTTTATTTAAGATATCACATTAATATATGTGCATTTTGTAAAACCTTAATTGTTTAGAATGGCTGAAAATAAAGTCACAGTTTTCTGCTGCATCCAACTTCACTCCCAGGCCAACTTTTTTTTTTTTTTTTTTGGTACCGGGGATCGAACTCAGGTCCTTGCACTTGTGCAGCAGGCAGCAAAACCACTGAGCTAAATCCCCGGCCCCTAACTTTCTATAAACCTCAATTCTTAGCCACTTCAGTTAAACATTGCACTAGAATAAGCAGAGTCCCAAACAGAATGATCATCCAACTGAACAACCACCACTCTAGAAAAACATTTGCAGCATTCTACTTCTTTTGTCCTTTTCTTTCTTTAGACATCTAGAAAGTTTTTACTGTTTTTCTTTTGCCTTTCATTGTGAGTGGGTCTGGCCCCTCTCAGAATGTGGCAGGTGTCCAGGTAGATTTTCCTTACTCAATTATTGAATCCCCTGGAAACTTTTCCCTTATCTTTGAGGAAGAACTCACTTCCATTGATTCCCCAGAACTGTCACATCAGACCCTCAACTAAGTAAGAAGTTCCATCCATCTGCCCAAATTGGCCTCCATTTGCTCCTCACTGGTCCTCCAGGGCTTGCCATTGGCTAAGACAGAAATTCAAATCATGCAAACACTGGAAGTCAGTGAAAAGGCAATTACTGTGGGAAATGGCAACTCAGCTGTTATGAATGATAATATCTACATATTGGATTTTCTACCAGATTCAGTCATCAAATTAGGACCCTTTCTTTCAAATCAATATTTTGAAGGAATATTTCCCATAGAGAAATATGTAATGCAAAGAAATATGTAAATGTAAAACTTTCAAAAAGTATCTTGAGATTATGACAAATCACTCAAAATTTGGGAAAGGTTAAAAACGCAGATGACAATTCTTGTGGATGTCAGATGGTAACACTGTTTAACTGGCCCATCAATTAATTTCTTTGGTGGATATATTTAGGGGGAGTCATTGCTTACTATTTATTTTAATTGAACTAGAATCCCAAACTAAAACTTTAAGGTTGAAGAGCTAGTGAAGTCACATGTTGAATTTCTACCCATTTCAGTTACAGATTTCTGTCCAGTGGAAAAGATAACCCCAAAAGTAAAGATTTATCCTCTTGCAGAGCACTCTGTGCCTCACATCCTCTTTTGAATCAGTGTTAACATTTAATTTATCCCCTTATTAACTGTTTAGTTGGATTAAATTTATTTACTGTGGTACTGGGGATTGAATTCAGGGCCTATGCAGTGAGCTACATCCCCAGCTCTTTTTATTTTTTATTTTGACATAGGGTCTTACAGTTGCCCAGGCTGACTTTTATTTTTTTACTTGTGTATGAAACATGTATTTAACTTCTTTTTTTTTTTTTTTGGTACCGGGGATCGAACTCGGGTCCTTGTGCTTACAAGGCAAGCGGCAGAACCACTGAGCTAAATCCCCGGCCCCTTTAACTTCTTCAAAAGTGTCTAAATGAAATTTGCTAGAGGGATTGAGGTTTCTCATGTTTAAGTGCACCATTTCTACTCCTTCATCTCTGTCTAGGTCCTCCTCCTGATTCTGGCATGTGCCACCTGCAGAGAGAATTAACCCCACCTCTCTGCAGCACTGGCAGTTATGAAGCTTAATGCAACCTGTTATTCTTGAGTATTTATTTGTTTAGCCAAGCTACATACTCATGTCTATGCATACTATCAATTCATGTACATTTAGGGTGTAAAGTTTTATCATCTTTTCACATTTTTTAAATGTCATTTTCTTATGAATCTTTTTTCATTTTATATAAAGTTCTTTATAATATTGAGTAGGCCTAATTACTGGTTCTCTGATTATACATTTATATCTCCAATAGGCAAAGATTAACATTTCCTTTACAACTGAGATGAACAATGTCTTCCACTAAAAACAATGTGCTCCTCCCCACTCATCTCCCTCATAATTAAAATATGAGGTGTAAACCAAAGAGAAGGCCCTGATTCCATATTACATCCTTTCTCCAGTGTTTTACACAAAGTTTGTTAGATATTAAACTTTTATAACTTTGGCTTTCTTTCTGGAGGTTGTTGCTGTGTCCTGAGTCTAGTAATTCCATACAGGTCATTGTCACTGTGTAATATATTATAAACCTGTCACCAGTGCCCTTTCATCACCTCACTTGGCTGAGCTTATAAAAGGAGCCCAGGACGTCAAACAGGCAGCTCAGGCCTTTCCCCAGAACTGCATGTAGCCCCAAGCTAAGTCCTCCACCTGGATCCCAAGTCCTGAGCATCTTTTCTCTCCTTGGCAGCCACTGACATCAACTCTACTGTACCCAACAGCCTGTGCTGCTGCCACCTGTGTCTCTCCTCCTATGGCCTGGTTTGTCCTGCTTTGGGGCATAGAGGTGCTACTGATACCACAGCCAGCCTGACTCCCCTGGAAGCTCAGGGCAGGTCCCTACTCCATGCTTATGGCTTTGACCTTTGAGCTCTAGTCCCTTTCTCAGGTGAGGGAGGAAGATCACCCTCCAGATGCCCACACAACCTGCGTCTTTGCTGAAGGGGAGCTCTGTTTGCTAGAAGACTATTGTAAGTCCCAAGCAGCTAGGACAGAATGCATTGTGATGACGTCTAACATCAAAAGTCAATTTTAAAACTGTTTGAACAAAGAGCCTTTCTTGCCCATTGCCACCTCCTAAAGGCCTAGCCTCAGAGCCTGGGAAAATTTGGTAGGATGATATCTACCCAGGAAGTTTACCTCTGCTTTCTGCCATCTCTCCTCCAGGCTCCCAGCTGACCACACCTCATTCCCACACTAATGCATCTGCTGAAATCTGGAAACTGAGGCTGTGACAGCCAAGAAAGCCTAAAGTTGAGGGTGCCAACATCCAGATTTCCCCACCCCAGTCTCATTGTCGTACTTTAAACTCTTCATGGTCTTCCAAAATAAATGCAGGTTGAGTCTCAAAGGGAAAGGCAACTAGGAGCCCTAACCTTCTCCCCAGACTTTGCACACACAGTAAATATGCCTCAGTCTTTGTTCCACTCACTTCTAATTAGCAAGAAAACAAACTCATTTGGTGATTAAAATTTGTTGAGGACTGCTGGAATATATAATGATTTCGGCAGCATCTCCTCCAGGTAGCCAAGGGTGGGGAGCAGAGGTGGGATTGGACTTGCACCCCCTCTTCTTGTTGCCTGGTCCCGTGCCTGTTCTCTTATCTTCTTTTTCAGGGAGATATAAAAGAGGATGAAAGTGATTTCTAAAGTACAAATTTTTTACATCTTTGGTTCTGACAAAAATTAAGTCACTAAAAAAATTAAATTATAATCTTTAAGATTTTCAATAAGTCAGTCTCAGAGAAAAATTTTGTCAAAAAAAAAAAAAAACCCTCCACAAAATCACATGACTTCTTGGAAGCATCAAAAAACTGTGCACAGGGCCGGGGATTT